GGTATTATGTGGGTAAATGTTACTGATGTAAGTGTTTTGAAAATTATAGAACATTCCTAAAATTCTGATCTGTCCTGGTTATCAGTCATAATTCTAATGATTAGTTTAAGGTGTTGTATATCACAGGAATAATAAGTTTCTCTGTCAATTGCCATTTTTAAGTCTTTTGTTGTTTACGGTCAGTTGTTTTACTCTGATGCTTTTTGCTTTTGCAAATATGTCTCATCTTCAGAGGAATTCATGGAAAGGACTCTCACGCTTACTCTGGAATTCAGGTTTCTGACAAACTTTCAGATCTTAGAACTGAACTAGGTAAGAAATTACAGAAATATAATGGAAAAACTGATGACCTCATAAAATTGCTAACGGAAGATTGAGATCAAGAACTGGTTATTTAGGACTGAATGAATTGAGGATGATTATAATTTTTTTTTACAACTTTTGTTTGAAATACTGTTTTGATGTGTTGTTTTGTTTTCTCAGATTTAAGAAAATCTTTTCTCTTATGCTAACTATGACTTACAGCAATTAGTGAAATTATACCTTTATGAGCAAAACTGAAACATTTATCTTTTTCTCCCTACCTGATCCGTCCAGAATTTGGAAACTCTTTGTGAGTGACTATGGTTATTTCGTGGCAATATAGTTATTTGCATAAGTTCAATAAGAATCTGTTCTCCTTATAACAGGAAACATTGGTTATCTTGCCAAAGCTTTGACAGGAATGTCATATTTGAGAGAAACATATAGACTCCGATGTGACAACACTGCCTTTGAGGAATAAGGTTGACTTTGTGAAAATAAGCCACTTGGAAATATGGGCCTGATACCTTGCTTTACAGAGAGACATTCCAGCAATCTTACCCGGTAAGTAAGGAAGTTTGCTTATCTGGCAGGTGCAAGGAAGCTTGGAATATTTTGGGGGACCTCAAGAAGAGAGGAATCCACCCAAATCTGTAGGTACTGCAGGCAAAATCTGACGGCAAGTCCTTGGCTTGTCTTTCCTGGCCTCGAGAGGTCTTTAAAGTTCAACCTGAGATTCCTCATAAAGAATTCCAGCAAAGCAGATTTCAGAGCCTATATGATCAATTGCTATTCTTGCTGCACTTATGTAAATAATCGGGCCAAGTTTCTTGAAACTAAACTTATATTGCAAACCAATTAGTCTTAATTTGGCTATCTTTGGGAAAAATGAGGGTGATTTTAGAGAGAAGAGCTATGTTTCAGTGAAAAACTATAAGACACATTTGTGGATGTTAGATCCTAGTTTTGTTAATTGTCTTTGAGGTGTTTTTTCTACCTGTGAACTGGACTGGATCCTGAATTCTTCTACTGAAATATCTGGTTAAAAACCTCCAAACTAATGTTTTCAATCTATTACCTCATTTTCATTTGGAATAATTGAGAATTGATCATGCTCTTTTTCCTGAAACCTTGCAAACTGAAGCCGAACGACTTGATAGAAACTTAAGAGAGATTCCTATCTGTTGCTGTGTAAGCTGTAAGCCACTCAGAAAGATACCTGAATGCCCGATGACATCATCAGAGACCTTTCACGCTGCAAAAAGATGCTTTGACTCTGACATCTACAAGTCTTCTTGACTGCCTGCCCCCTGGACACAGGAACTAATTTATAATTTGCTCCAACCATTAACCTTGTTACCTTGCTTCCAACATCACAAGGGAGAGAAGACCACGACTGCATTCTATTGTTTAATTTGGTTTACAAATGAGTCTTACTTAAATGATAAGTGAGGATGTTATGCTGTCTAGCCTCAAGAATGCCTGCTACTTTCTGTTAACTCTGCTAACCCAGTAAAAGATTTCCTTCTACAGGCTCAAGAAATTGCCACGGAACAAGAGAAACAGATATGGCAGTCAAAAGGGGAAATTTTTGACACCCCCTCGCAGATGTGGTTCGGGCCCAATAAGAAACCCACTCCATGGGTCACAAGGCCACTTTCCCCTTCCTAAGGGACCCTTTGAGGTATGGCTATTGGACTTTGTCCAAATGCCACCATCTCAAGGATATAAATACATCTTGGTAATGATTTGCACGCTTTCACATTGGATTGAGGCCTTTCCTTGCAGAAGAGCAATGGCTTTAACAGTAGGTAAATTACTATTAGAGAGAATAATTCCTGTTTGGGGAATTCCTACTGAGTTACATAGTGACTAGGGAACTCAAATCTGTTTGTAATGTTTGGCCAATATTGCAGCATTTCCACTGTGCTTACCATCCTCGATCCTCAGGACTGGTAAAACTAATGGCACAACTAGAACTTAATTGGCAAGCTTTCAGAAGCATTTACTCTCTCACGGCCAAAAGCTCTTATGCTAGTGCTCCTTAATCTTAGATCTATACTTTTTGTAAACATGGGCTGTCTCATTTTGAAATAATAATAAAACAGCCTATGCAATTAGATGAAGAAATATATGAACCAGCTTTTCTTAAGGGATATATTACATTGTTGTCAAGGTCTTATTGAGGTACTTAAAGTAAAATGAAAGATTGGTAGCTGATTCTTTCACAGAGCTCCCAGAACTTAAGGATCATGGGCTATAACCTGAAGAATTTATTTATTGAAAGAGACATCAAATAAGACTCTATACAGCCCAGTTGGAAAGGATCATACCAGGAGGAGAAGAAGATGACATCTGTTGTAGACAGCTGTCCCAAGACTCCGGACCAGGCCTGTATTCCCAACCTTCTATCTCCTCATGTAAACATTTGTTACCTTTGTTATAATTTGTTTGGAATACTATCATACTTAAAGAAAGGGATTAACTTGGAACAGACTGATCTTGAAGGCCAGGAATTTATCGAGTGACTCCTAATGGAACTCAATGGTCATGTGGAACAAATCTTTGGCCTTGGCTACTGCCTGGATGGCTAAAACACTGCACCCTGAGTTTCCTTTAAAAGCAGGGAAGGAGTCAGGCTGAGTTAAAACCTATTGCCAATCTCCCTCTCTTTAAGGCCAGATGGGCTTGTTCAGTGTTCCACTGGTATGGCTATATTTTCAGCTATCTGTGCTTCTTCTTTGGGGCAAAAAGATGTCATCTTTACATATGGAAGCTCTGACTAAATTTACTCAAGGAGCCCTTAATGATAGTCAAGCAGGAATAGCCTTATTAAATACCGAAATGTCTTTAATGCGAAAGGCTGTCCTTCAAAACAGAATGGCTTTAGATATTCTTACTGCATCCCAAGGTGGTACATATACAATTATTCAGACTGAATGCTGTGTTTTTGTACGTGAAGAATCTTCCAATGTGTCATCTCTGCTAAAGTACATAAAGAAGCAAGTGGATGCCTTATGTGAATCCTGCACCCACTTTGATTTATTTGGTTGACTCCCTTTTCAGTATCAGTTCCCTCTTTCAATCCGGATTGGAATTCCTATTTCTATTATTTATTGGAATCTTTGTACTGGTCATAATATTCAAACTAATTGTTGTTTTCTTTACTCAGTGTTATAAGAGTAGCATACAAACTAGAGTAATGATTGCTCAATGGCTTGAGACGGTTGATCTATCTTATAACCCTGGACAAATTTCCTTTTCTGATAGAGACTATGACTAAGAATTCATTTCAGACTAATCCTTTCAAAAATGCTGTTATTATCGTTACTGTACTTGTTCTATAATCATATACAATGTAAATGCAAGGTGTCATAGAAAAGCGCATATACAATGTTTGTGCAACAATCTAAATTAATTACATAACATATGAAATGGTTCCTCTGTTAATAAATATACTTCCATGCTTGTCCACTATTTCTCCCCAACATGGACGACTAGGCAAATAAATGAAATAAAAGCCTAGCACCGAGGGACATGATGGACCCAGGGCAGGCAGCAACCACCCTGGCGCCGAGGGACAATATTTTGATCATCAATGCTTTCTATTGAAAGATTAGAGATCAAAAGGGGGAAATGTCAAATAAAAATGGCAAGTAATAGGATATATTGGAATATATGAGGAAGCCATTTTGGTGTAAACCTAATTCGACCTGACCTTGTCTTTCCAAAAGGGCCTGACCAAGGCCGTTGAGCATGCATTGTATATCTGCTTTAGAGATTCCCTATGGCAAGAGCAAAAGGCCCTTGAGATAAAGGGCCCTCCCCCTGCCAACGTTGGTGTCTCCTTAAGGATTAAGCATCTTTGCTTAGGCTAGAAACTGATTGCTGCGCTCACCTGTGACCGCCCAGCTTGAGACAATAGACTTGCCTCCTGCTGCGCCCTTGGAGATAGCAGACCCACTACCTGCTGTGTCCATCAAGTGCTGTGCCAACAGGGCACTCTTGTGACTATTGTGGGAGGGACATTTCAATCATGTGAAACACCCTCTTTGAGGGTATATAACCACCCTATGTGCCCCCACTTCTTTGGAGTGCTCTGTTCCTTTGTGGAAAGACCTCCCGGGTTATAATCCTAAAATTTAAGCTCAGAATAAACTCACCCAAATTTTCATTTATAGATTGGTTGTGGATTATTTTCGTCGACAATATATTCAGAAGGTATAAAATGGTCAAGGATTCCTTATTAACAAGACTAGGAGAAGAACAAGAACTCAATGAGAGCAGTAAGGCATGCCACTATTTTTGAACTGGCCTCCGTGCGAGTGGTCAAATCAAACTCTTTGGCATTGGTCATTATTTTAGTGGACAAAGCTGTAAAGTATAAGCTAATATTTTCCTAAGAGTATGTTGATTGTACTTTTGAGGTGTGCCCCAGTAGAGTAATCATAGCATCGTCACCTCTGAGTGGCAGCTATTTTCTCCTCCTCGTTCTCTCCATCAGTTATACTGAGCCATTTAGTATAGAGATCAAATGTAAAGACACTCCCTGGGATGTTTCGAAGAGAATCCTTACACACATCAAAAGAAGAGTATTATTCTTATAGCAAATACATATTGGACAAATTACAGGGAAAACATGGAGTTGAAAAGTTGAGTTTCTGTCCCCACTTCCTTCTCAGGCTCCCCACACTGTGACCCACGCAGCGCTCAGCTCCACCTCTCCACTGACTTGCACACCCTGAAGTGGGTGCTTGGACTTCTAAAACTTAGAAGCATCAAAGCAGAGTGGGCCACAGTGGGAGCGAAGCGAAAGCCTCCTTCTATCACCTGGAACTTCCTCTTGGTGTCCATTTTAGTAAACTAGTAGAAACTGACAAGGTCCGGTGAGACGTCATCCTCAATCCTCCTAGTTTCTTGAGAAGAAATACCCATCCCCGTTTGAGACACAGTGCTTGCTCTTAACTCAAGCAAGAGAAGTTCTGAAACAAACAAACACACACACCCTCGTGCTCTCGCACACATATTAAGAGAGAACTGAGCCTTCTGACTTGAGGTATGTGTGCTCCTTGGGAGAACACTGCGTCACAATAGCCTCGTTCTTCCTGGTTTTAACTGTATGAAAGTTCGATTCTGCAGACTGGGAAGCAGCAGGCATTGGAAATATATCAAAATCCCCAATGGGTAACAACGTGTTACCCCTTATAGTCTGTGAGTGGGACATACAGATCCTTCCAAAAGAAGAAACTTACTAAAACTTAGATACATCGCAACTTCAGGTCTCTGAGTATCAGGGCTACAGACGCACAAATGTCAGCTTCCTAAGTCGAGGCCTTAAACATCTGTCACTTTAGAGGGCTGAGGAACAAGTTTAATATCATAGAATTGGGCCTATTAAAATTTACGAAGCTTTAATGTTTGTGCAAGACTGAGGGGAAGTTGTCACATTGTCTTGCTAGCTTCCAAGCACACCTAGCTTCCATTGTTCTCACTCAGCAGCACATGCCTTCTCTTAGTGGTGGCTTGCTCCAGAAGTGCCTCAGGGCAACTATCCTAATTAGAATCTAATGATGGTTCACTCATGCTAATCCCTATTGAGCTGCTGTTAGTGCCAGGCACTGTTGTGAGCACTGGGGACAGAGCAGAGAAGCCAATGGACAGAGTCCCAGTCCTCTCACTTTGACTATGTTGATGGTGTGTGGTACCCATGGTATTGTAGCTAGCCATGGTAGTTAGTGCTTTTCACCGTGTTTCCTATGGAGTGCTTCCAATATATTTGGAGGGAGGAAGCAGTCCAACTCTGGCCGGCTCTTCGAGTCTGGGAGCATGCAGGAGGGCCCTTGCCTCATGCGTACCACACTACATGCACTCGGAGCATGTGTCCCCTCTCTGTTTCCTGAACCCTGTTCTGTGGGAGGCCATTGGTGAGGCTGAGTGTGGTGAAGCCAGAACATGACCAGAGCAGAATACGCCAAGGGTATTCACTGCTGGACCTCTGTTTTTAGACAGCTCAATGGCAAACTCACTGTGGTACTGATGACATACTCATTTCTGGTTTAGGTCAACACTCCAGTTCATTGAGCATGGTATTATCAAGGCCAAGTTGCAAAGTCTGATTCCCCACCAAGATCAGTCAACTTTAGGAATGTCTGAGAACTATACCCACGAGTGGCCACCCCCTTGCTAGTCTGTACTTATAACAGAAAGATAGACAAGACTCTGCTGATGGGCAACTCTAACTCTTGCTGGAAAATCAGTTCCAGGTGTGCACCTCACAGAAGGCAAAACTCAACTTGCTATTTGCATGCCTAGTGTATATTTCTAATCATCCCATTGTCATAGTGGTTGTCTCTAAGCCACTTCTGAACTGTTCCTATTTATTATACAGCTGAACATTCATGGGGAAAAAGGAAAGACCAAATGGAATCTCGATTATAAGATAATTTTAATAACCTATTTGTAGTCATTTCTACTTATGACATTCCTCTTTAGAGCTGTTAACATATACCAAGATGGATTGAGTCAATTCTTTCTCTGTTCTATGATTCCCTTCATAGAAACATAACTGGATATTTGGGATTTAGGTGTATCATTTAAAAAACTTTTTTGTATAAATCTATTGAATTTTCAGAATTCCAAACAAATTTTCGTTGCTGCACCTACTTAATAGTCAGATTTATAAGAAGCAGCATGTGGTAGGAGCTTGTTACTGTGTGACCATAATCGTGGGTGGTGGGTTAGGCATAACAAACGTTAATAAAGGATGCCAAATTTGGTAAGGGTGAAAGAAGGCAAAAAAAGTGAAGTCACCCCTACACTACTTTTAAATTAAAAGAGACAGGCGAAAGAAGGATGAGGAAGTGAACGGAGCTTTTGGTCACTCATTGAGCATTTTTTGATTCAAGTCAAGTAAGTCAAGCTTCATGCCTCTTCATAGGACGCCTGTTCACAAAACAGTGGTGTTCATATGATCCGAGGGTGGTGTTTTCCACCGCTTGATGTAAAAAGGTCACTTATAGAACATTTGCACAGTCCCTGTTGATGGGTTGATGGTCTCAACTGGCCTAAACTGGACAAGGGGGAACTCTCAGTTCCTGGAAGACAACTCTTAATTACTCTGTTAGTAAGATGGGCTGAGTTGAACTGGTCCTAGTAGGCCTATGGTTACACTCCCCGAAGCCCCGGTTTTTCTACTTTTGCACATTCATTTTAATATTATTGATCTTATTTTGGATGCTCCCTAGTACTGATTGTGATACCTCCCTAATTTCCTCACTAACTAAATAAAATCTTTAACACATGTTGATTTTTTATCCGTATGAGTCATAATTTTATCATTTTTTGAAAATCATCTCTTTTTTTTAAGTTGTAGTAAAATACACAGAACATAAAATTTACCATCTTAACCATTTTTAAATATACAGCTCAGCGGCATTAAGTACATCCACATTGTTGTGCAACCATTGCCACCATCTATCTCCAGAATTCTTTTCATCTTACAAAACTAAAGCTCTGTACCCATTAAATAATGACCTTCCATTTTCCCATCACCTACGCTCCTGGAAACCACCATTTTATTTTCTGTCTCCATGAATTTTACTACTCTGTACACCTTATATAAGTCTACCAGGAGGAAAAACCCTCTACCAATTTAGATGCAGTGGTCTGGAGCCTGCAAATTAACTGACAATACTAACAGGAGAAAAGACAAGATTGATTTACTCATTCATGCAGGAGCATTCAGATGAAGAGGCTCCCTGAAGAGCTGGAGATAGAGGTTTATTGACCAACTTAATAGGGGAAAAGAGGGGCTTCTATGAGAAAGACTAGTGGGCTTTTAGGAGAATGAATGACAGGTGTGACAGTTTAGGATGTTTGCTTATGCAGTTTCTCAGGTGCAAGAGGTCCAGGCTGGGCGTGCAGCTCCCCTGAAGAGGGAAGTTATGACAGCCTCACTCTTGGAAGACTTGGCCTTTAGTCAGAGAAGGGAAGCTCAAGAAAGGCTTCTTTGTGCATCTGCTGTATCTCAGATGTCTTCAGTTTAAAGTAATCTTCTTACCAACTCTAGGAATACACGTGGATCCCTAGAAGTGGAATCGTATAGTTTTTGTCCTTTAGTTATTAGCTTATTTCACTTAGCATGATGTCCTCAAGTTTCATCCATGTTGTAGCTTGTGTCAGAATTTCCTTCCTTTTTAAGACTGAAATAATATGCCACTGTATTTATAAACCACGTTGTGTTTATGCATTCACCCATCAATGGAAACTTGACTTGCTTCTACCTTTTGATTATTGTGAATAATACTCTGATGGACATGGTTGTACACATATTTCTTCAAGACTCTGTTTTCAGTTCTTTTGGGTATATACCCAGAAGTAGAATTGCTGGACCTATTTTTAATTTTTTGAGGAATCAGCATACTGTTTTCCATAGTGGCTGCACCATTTCACATTCCCACCAATAGTGCAGTAGGGTTCCAATTTATCCACATCCTCACCAACACTTATTTTCTTTTTTTTTGACGGTAGCCATCCTAATGGGTATGAGGTAGTATCTCATGGTTTTGATTTGTGTTTCCCTAATGATTTGTGATGTCGGACATTTTTTCATGTGCTTTTTGGCCAGAAAATTATCTTTTAACACTCCACTCTACCTTTTTTTTTTTTTTTGAGGAAGATTAGCCCTGAGCTAACATCTGTGCCCATCTTCCTGTATTTTATGTGTGGGATGCCTGCCACAGCATGGCTTGATAATCAGTGTGTAGGCCTGCACCCAGGATCCAGACCATTGAACCCCAGGCCGCTGAAACAGAGCACGCAAACTTAGCCGCTACACCACCGGGCCAACCCCTACACTCCACCTTTTAACACTATACATCCACCAACCAAGAAGTCCCACTCACTGTACGTCATGGATACATCAGAGATTGACATCTCAGAAATCAGTATGGCCCTTACCTTCAGTGAGTGTCAGAGCTTTATTGGCAGCATTTTTTTCTTTCGTAGGTGATGCATCTTACAAATCCATCCTTCCCAAAGCCAGTTGACATTTGGCAAGAGGAGAAACAGCCAGGGAGGCATTGTGGAGGGTTTCTCACTGCCGGGTTTATGGCAAAGCGCTTGAGGGTGGAGGATGGAGGGTAAAGAGTGAGCAGTTGTGTGTGAGCCAGTTTCCTTCAGGTAGCTGAGCCATCTCTCAATGGCATCCTCTCCCAGGGAGCTGCTCTTTTTGCCTGAACCGCCTCCCATCAGGCTGCGTGCATAGTGAAGACCAGATCCTTCAATAGCACAATGAGTTATTGGGAGAGCTTCCTTTGTTTCCATCAATTGGTTTCTGTTCTCAGGTCAATATTATATTGCTTTATGTAAAATATCTGCTAAATTAATATCTCTTCAATATTCTTAGTTCTCTTGTTATTTCAGATTAGTTATAATTATTTAGATAGATTTCTGAAAATGTCCTGATTACAGTAACACTAAATTAAAATTTTATATCTTTTCAATATTTGCTCTTCCTATCATTTACATGTCTTTCTTTTCTCTTTTTTTTTTTTTTTCCTTTTTCTCCCCAAAGCCCCCCGGTACATAGCTGTGTTTTGTTTTGCTTTGTTTTTCAGTTGTGGGTCCTTCTAGTTGTGTCATGTGGGATGCCGCCTCAGCATGGCCTGATGAGCGGTGCCGTGTCCGCACCCAGGATCCGAACTGGCGAAACCCTGGGCCGCCAAAGCAGAGTCCGTAAACTTAACTGCTCGGCCGCGGGGCGGGCCCCATACATGTCTTTCTTTTTATTAATTTTATTCCATTACATTAATATTTTGTTATTCTTAATACTGC